GTGAGTGGCTGCAGTACAGGCATTTAACCACTGGGCCACCAGGGCTCTATGTAAAGAAACTGCAGATGAAAACATTCTTCAAGCATGTTATTCCTAATAAAATATGATGGCAAGCACTTTGATTACAGCTGATGCCATTTTTTACAATTGGCAATACCCATTTTATCTGGAATACAGGCATACTTCATTTAACAAAGACATTGACAGTGAAGCTCATTTCAACAAAAGTTGTTTTTTTAAAAAATATTTGTTCAGGCCTCTTTTGCTCCTGGTCCTCTGTCTAGCTGGAAGTTTTTTTTTTTTTTTTTGAGGAGTGTTGAAACAGGGAGGATAGTGAAAGACAGTTGGCGAATTACAGAATTTCAGTTGCCAAAGTGTGCATGGATGCAGTAAAGAACTGAATGCTGGTGAATAGACCGATGCGTTCCAGGAAACAGTGAAAACATAGCTATTGATATGTCCTGTGTCCCAAAATTTGGTAATTTCTGAGATGTTTCATTAGCAGATAATAAACCAACCCCAATGATGCAAACTGCAATGCAGCATTTGTTGTTGCTGTATGCCTTCTGGTGACTTGAAGGTGACTCTACCAAGGGGTTTTCTTGACAAGTTTCTTCAGAGGGGGTTTGTCCTTTCCATACTCTGAGGATGAGAGAGTGTGACTTGCCCAATGTTTCCATGGCTGAGCTGAGATTCAAACTCTGGACTTCAGAGTTGTAGTCCAACACTCAAACCACTACGACACTCTGCTCCTCATAACCCCCCCTTGAAATGAGTACACACCCAGCTGTACATGCACCTGAAAGATGGGTGGGTCAGTGCTTTGTGCATTACTTTTAGTCTAATAATTGTTGTGTCTATATGTCCATATCCCTTCTAATGTGCTTGAGGTCTCTGCAGTAGAGTGTGCCCATGCTTGTAAGTTAGTCTCTGAAGGTAGATGGCACAAAGCCACTGGTAAACAATGGTAATCCATGTCTTAAGTGGAAATAAGTAATGAGAGAAGCAGAAGTGGGGTAAAGGAGAAGTGGTGTGCACAAATTGGAAAGGGATAAACTTTCTTCTAGTCTTATCCAAGTAACTAACTGGTTTCTAACTCAGACAAAAGTCTTATACGAGTAAGAAAGATAAAGAGGTAAAAAATTATGGATGCAGTGCATACTCCCTGGCTATGAAAATACTCTCTGTTGCCCATCCCACTGTATAATATTTTCTTGATCATAACCATTTTTGCAGCTTGATTTTCCAGGCTACTGCCTGGAAAATGTGTCATGTAAAAGCTGTATCCTCGGGCATTATACAGATCTGGCAACATCAACCTATACGGTTCAGGTTGCTAAACACAGAGTTGCTTTCTGTGGCTTTTGAAGGCAGAACCACATTATAACAAATGCAGGAGAGAGTTAATTCAGTAGTCCAATAATAACCAGAGGCTCTTTCCTTCCCTTGCAATGTCTAAGGTTTTTTTTTTTTTTTGGTGTGTGGCATGTTGTATTATGTATAGTGCATTTCACCACAATTCAGAAAAGTTACTTTCAAGGACCACAAGTCCCAGGATGCTCAAGCACTGGCCATGATGGCTGAACGAGTCTGGCATCATAGTCCAATGAAGTATCTTTCTCAAGCTCTACATTTCCCTGACCTTATTTCAAGCCACTGGCTCTTGGACATGGGGTCAGCCATATCATCCAGGAACAGTTAGTAAATTGTACTAAAACATCATTGACAACTGGACATATGGCTGATACTAAGGTCACTTAGTATTGCTTATAACATAATGGAAGGAGACACTGCAATTTAGTGGAATGTGGAATTATGTTGCACTATGCAAATTAACCAATGCAAAACTGCCCTAATTTCAATGTTTAAAACTGTAGTTCAGCAAAAATAGATGTTTAAGGCACATTGTACACCATCATGCCTTTTCAGAAAGAAATTGTCTATGTCAACAAAATGTTGGTGATGTAATACAGGTAAGTTTTCCTGTAGTATATGATATAGGTGTGTTCAGTGATTTCAGTGGGTTTCATATATTGTAACAAATTAATTCTGTATTGGAAAATATTTGGCACTTGTAGAAACGTGTTCTTTTAAATGATGGCTCTGGGATGTGGAATTTGACTAATGTTCAACACAGTTGAATCCATCATGTTCTTACTTTGATTAAAAGACTTGTACTCCAAGACTGGAAAGATAAACACACATACGCACATCAGCTGTTCAATTATTAGAAAACCTCACTATTTAAGCATCTCATGAACTGTATTTTATAGATGTCAAAATCAAGAACATGTCCTTTTTTCTCTTTGAAATAGAGGGTGTATACAGACTGCCAGAAATAATCCATCTTGAGACCACTTTAAGTGTCCTGGCTCAGTGTTAAGGAATCATGTGAACTGTAGTTTATTGTGGCACCAGAGCTCTCTGACAGAGAAGGCTCAATGTCTCAGGAAAAAACACTACAATTCCCATGATTCCCTAGCACTGAGCAGGACAGTTAAAGTGGTCTCAAGCTGGATTATTTCCGGCAGTCTGTACAGGCCCATAGTCATCTTATATCAGTGTATATGTGTAGCCCACATTCATATCCTGTAACTTCCCCTTTATTGCTTTTTTCCCCCTCCCTCCTCTTCCTTTCTTCCTTTTGTTGTAATCATAGTTTTAAAAAAAATCTGATAAAAATGAAAAATATCATAGAAAGGGAGAGCTCAGTATAGTGTGGATTATTTATTTATTTGCAGCAGCAACATGCTTCTTTGAAGACATGAACATTGAAAAATGACTTTATGACAGTTTGGGACAGATCCTTGGATTCTAATATTATGGGATCTTATGATACAAACCCCACTGACTGCACAGCCCACTCCCAAGGTTGGCTGTGAACTCAGGGGCCAGCAGGAGTCGGATTATCTGAGCTACTTTTTGCTCTGGTCCAAAGTGCCAGAGCACAGCTTCTGGCTGTTTTGGAGGTGTCTGTTGTTTAATCGGCACACCTCCAAAGTGGCCAGAAGCTGCTTCTTTTTGCCTGTCTTTTTCACCCCACTGTCAACTAACCTCATGGCACGTATTCTGGTGCAAGTGCTTTCAGACTTTGCAATATTAAAATGACTCAGTGTTCAGTATGTGTTAACTTTGCTTTACCTTTGAAATGGCTTCAAGTGCATGTTCTGAAACACAGACCCTTGAGTTTAAATAAGTCATAAAAGCAGCTAAGCCTCCAGAAGTGTAACATAGTCAAAATAAATAGTTTCTCTGGTGGATATTAGCATATCCCTACACCCCTCCTGCAGGATATGTGGTTCCATAATATCTAGAGTTGGCATGTTTTGAGGTCATGATGGCCTGCAGAAAATAGAAGTTATACATGTGTAGGAGTCATACTGATTGGAGGACAAATGGGGACCCAAATAAAATTAAGATAAATGCTAAATGGGTTTGCTGATCACCTTGCACCCCCCTGGCTCCATGCATTTCTGCTTATAATGAAAGGCAAGACTGTCCCATAGAAAGGCAATCAGTGACCATACCCTTTACCTCACCTTATAACAAAATTCCTGAACACCCTTCTGCCCAATCAGTAAGAGATTGTCTCAGATCTAATCAATGTATCATCGCTCCAGAACTAAACCTACCATTCTGGAACCTTTTGTCAGTCCCCTGGAAAAGCTATCAAGGCCTTTGTCATACTGAATATTATACAATGCACCCCTAGATGTATGAAATAAGGTATAAATATCCAGCCCAGTCCTATCCATATTGCACAGACTAGGATCCCTCTGTGTAGCCCTCAGATGCAGTCTGAACCACTCTGCATTTTCCATGGACCTCCCTTCAGGACTGGTAGTTATTGCCCCCTTTAACCTCCAGCCTCTCTCTAGCCAAATTTTCATTCCTTTCTTTTCAGCAGCCTTATATGATTCTTATGGTTGTCTTGGTTCTTGTACGTCTGTGATATCAGGGGTTATTGATATACATAGGGAAAAGATCCCTGCAGTTACCCTCATCTCACAAGCCTCCTTTGAGTTATAATTTCCCCAAATTTCAAGGAAATGTTGGCATTGTGGATGGGGATCCCCAATGTCCTTCACTTTTTAGGGTGACATGGTTCTTACTTACACTTCTCCCTGGACTGGGAACAAGATCAACAGACAAAGGAATGAGGAGGTTCATGTGCAGGACACCATAGTGTGTTCTATGGATGTTCTGGCCATCCTTACTGAGATCTTTTTGGTATCTGCTCATAGTCTCCATGTTTTCCCTGTGTTCTGCATCTGGACTTGTTCTTCTTTGTTGTTTTTATGGGCTTTCCATTCAATTCCAACTTATAGTGATCCTATCACAGAGTTTTCTTGGCAATATTTCTTCAGAAGAAGTTTGTCATTGCTTTTTTCTGAGGCTGATAGAGTGTGATGTGCCCAAAGTGGGTTTTCCTGAGTGAATGGGCATTTAAATCCTAGTTTCCTGGAGTCCAGCACTCACTATACCACACTGGCTCTCACTTGGCCTTATGCCAATCTTGCAAACTGTAATAGGAGAAATGGCCCAGAAAGCAAAATCCAACTAAAGACATGTTATGTGATCTAAACTGGATGGAGGAGGATGAGCCCCCCAAGAAAAGTGGGAAAACTTACCAGCCCATTGTCAATCAAGAGTTGTTCATTGACAACAATGACAACAGTAATGATAATATTGATTTCTCACTACTTGGAAGAGTGGCAAGGCAACAGTCCATTGTGCTGCTATCAGCAAACGTGCAGGGACTAATACCACTAGGAAAGAAGCTTATATTGCCCATACCCTTGGCTTTCATTTCAATTCCTGCAGAAATTCAGGCTGCCCCAAATCTTATGATACTAAGCCATAAACTCCAAATGTTCATATCTGACAGGTACAGTCCAAAGTAATCCTCTGTCATGAAATTTTTCAGCTGCTTTTACAAAGTCCCATTTGCTTTCTCCACCTCCTGCTTTCCCTCTTTTCCTCAGTTTACCTCAGTTGCTGCAGATTGATTTCAAAGTGCAACTGTAGTTCTCAATTAACTTAATAGGGTGATAGAAAAGGAATGGGTGTGATCTTGCCCGTCCCAATAGGCTCTGGCAAAGGCAAATGGCTACAGACACTTCTAGCTTCTGCATTCCCTCTCATTAATAATGTTGGCCATCTTGACTACACTGTTATGTTGCTTGGCCACATGTATTCCAGTTGTCATCTGTGAAATGTTGGAGAGTATGGTAGTACAGTGTAGTGATTTGAGTGTGGGGACTATGACTTTGGTGACCAGGGTTCAAATTCTCAGTTAGCCATGGAAACCCACTGGGTGACCCTAGGCAAGTCATACTTGCTCTCAGGCTCAGGAGGCAAAGGTAAAAACCCTCTGAACAAATCTTACCAAGAAAAACCCGTGATAGGCTTGCCTTAGGTTAACCAGTACTCGGAAATGACTTGAAGGCATACAGCAATAACAAAAAATGATACGCCTGAGGCATTGCTAGAGTTCAAGTCCTTGTTCAACCACTCAGCTAGTATTCTTAAGGACCTACAATGTCTCCTTTCTCTGCAGGCAGTGCCATGAAGAAGCCACACAGGAATGCATGAATACCCCAAACAAATGGTTATATGAAGGAAATCCTTATTTATCATGTGGTTCCTGTGTAAAGTGACAACACATGTTCTTTGCCAAGCACTTTTTCCAGCAACAGTCCTTTGCAGTTTTATCTTCCATAGCTTTAAAAATGTATTAGTAATTTTAGT